GGACAAGTAGGAAAAAACTGTTAAGACTAACGGGCCAGCTAGCAGCTCATGAGTGTATACTCGCTCTTGAGAGCATATTAAATCGCCCACGACTGGCATTATAACAACGACATTACAACTTACATATAAGATTTATTATAGATACCCCCCATCAATCAATCGACTTGTCCAAGTTTAAATCGATCATTTTGTTTGAATGCAGCGTACATTTACGGGTATCAATGAAGGCTAACGTCATTAGGTAGGCGGCTAAAGCTAACAAGCCAGACCGCCTCAGAGCCAAACAGGTTTACTTCTTCGCTCGTCATTTAGGGTTTTTACATACCAGCTTAGAAAACATCGAACAATGAAAACGCTTGCAGCTGGTTAGCCTTAGCCATTCAGTTATCGAATGCACGGTATTTGGAGAGCAATGAAATTAATTCAACAAATCGTTTCCAGTTTGGAAACATGGTGCATGGAATCTGTTGTAATATACTCAATTCAAAATAACAGCACTTTCCTACCTCAGTGGGTTTATCAAAAAGTGTTTACAACTTGGTGCTTGTCCAGGCGAAACGACGACGAAGGACGTACAACCGCTGTCGATGGAGACGGGGGTGGCCTTTTTTTTTCTTTAACCCAAATGTGACGTCATTTTCAGCAGCTGCGCGGAAACAACCGAGGAGTGACGGGAGAAGCCGAAGCTTTGCTGATAACAACGTCCAGTCGCATCCAAGGTCGCCAGGCTTTCTTTTTGTTAGTTGGCTTGACACAAACGTAACCCGCCGGGCTTTCTCTGCGAGTAATGAACCATATGAGTGCTGCCGGTTCCGGTCACAGACGCTATCAAATCAAGATGATAAAATGGTGATACAAATCTAAAAATAAAAAATGCAAATTCGACAAGACAACAATCTTCCGGAAACGCGTTAATCTTGTATTTTGGCACTCAAAGCCTTAAAATAAACATTTTAATTATAGTTAATTATTTTGAGTGCACATCAGAGCTGTGAAACTGAAAACTGGACACATTTAACATTAAGCTGCTGTCCCACAGTGTAATAAAGGAACTCATTTTAGTTTATTGGCAGAAGAAGGTAAATTAACTTGACTGAATAGAACCGGGCTTTACTTTTGCATCAGTGAGTAGAGGGCTGCTGTACACCGGCCCTACACTCACTAACAGCATTCGCCCATTTTCAGCTAGCATCAGGAAGTGTCATATTTTGTAATATCGATACATTTTTTCGAGCCTTACTCAAATAATACAATGTACAAAGTTATATTTAGTTCTTGTGTTTGAGGCTTTTCATACTATTTTTTACATTAACTCCAAGAGGAAGTATTGTATGTTAGAGTCATTTTTTAAGATATGAACCTATAATACTTGATATTTTGTTTTAAGTGAAAATTACTTTCACAGTTTAAGTACAGCTGAAAGCGTCATAATTTGGAGAATTGCAGGTTAAGAACCCAAATGTAGGACTAACAGACACAGGCATGTCATGGACAAGGACCGAGCCCTTTTATTTTTGCCTGAAGTGCATATAACAAAGAGAGAAGCAAACAAACAGTAATGTCCAGATGAACAGAATCAGCTTTTTGGGTAAAAAACAAGGAGTCACTATGAGTATCCATCTGGGAAACATGGACAAATGAGTTTATAAAATAAACTTGAGGTAAAAGGGGAGCTAGAAACAGGAAGGTAAGTAAAGCTGAAGACAACTGACTAAAGGTAACATTAGAAACAATACACTGTACTATAGCAAAGTAAAACAGGTATTAAACAGAAACACTGCACATGAGTTAATGAGTCAGGCAAGTTGATAAATGCTGGACCTAAGGCCTAGGACCAAGACATACAAGATTACTTGATTACTCATCAGTTACTTGATGAAAAGGGGTAACTACTTTGATAGTGATTTAAGGTAAAATCCCATCTGAATCCAAATTTATGTTCGGGTCCTCTTTATTTGAATATTGCTCATGTTTTCGCTGTGTTATTTTGTTCCCTGATTGTTTTTAAAGGTATAATAATTTCCCTAGGGATTAATAAAGTATGCTGATTCTGATGAGAAGCAAGTTCAATACAGCCAGGCTTTCTTTGTATTAGCTGGCTTGACAGTCAGAAATAACAGAGAGCACAACAATAGCTGTCACATTTCTTTGTTAACCAAAGCATTCTGCTTCGGGATCTCAGCATATTCACATAAAAGGAGCATTTCATCTTCATCTCTTCCAATGAAAATCTTAATCTTCAGCTTGCCCTCCTGTCTTTTCATTAGTGCCCCTGTCTCCAAACCATACATCATAGCACGTCTCACTACCATGATCAGAACCTACAGCTATCAGGACCCCCTCCTCTAGAGCCAGCGCCTAATTTAGACCCAAGAGACAGACACTCTTCCTGCTTTTAAGATTAGGCTGAAAGGAAGTTTCTTTCTGTTAAAAGCGAGTTTCTCCTTCCCACTCTTGCTAAGTGTTTCCTCATAGGGTGTTTTGTGATTGTTGGGGTTTCCTTCTGATACTGTAGGGATTTTACCGTACAATATAAAACACCTTGAGGTGACTGTTGTTGTCGTCTCTTTGACAAAATAACTAAAAACCCACCTTTTTAAACCTGTGTTTAACTTTTATTTTTATGTTCTGGCATTTCCTTTGTGAAGCACTTTGTTATTGTGACTTGCAAGGTACAATTTGAAATTTTGCTTATTTACTCTTATTGCAGTAGCACTTGAGAGCCCAGAGATCACAGGTATTTAGGATGGATGTTCAGGCTTCTCTTCTGTGTTTCTTGCACACAGAGGCTTCTCCAGACTATTATTGAACCTTATTATGTAATGTAGATTAAAATATCCAGTCTTTGTAATATTAAACTGAGGAACATTATTCTGAAATTGTTCCAAAAGTTGTAGGCACAGTTTTTTGCAGATTGAAGAAACTTTGCCACCTTTACTTCTGAGTAAAGATGTAATTAAAAAAAATAAACCAGCCTTGTTACTGACCTGTTGCCTAATCAGCTGCAAAATGTTTCTCAAGCTTTTGCTTTTATTAACACTTACTTTTCCAGCCTCTTTGTTGCCCCATCCCAACTTTTGAGATCTGCTCATACCATCGGATTAAAAATGAGCTAATAGTCTATTATTATTATTAAAGTCTATTTTTAGGGGAGTTTAAAACTATATAAAACAAACAAAATAAATATTAAGAGTATTGCCATTGTTACGGATTCAAATATTGGGGATGGATACAAGAGGAAAAACCACAATAACAACACTGGTCCGGCCGGGTTGAGTCAAACGATGATTTTAATGATCACACGCGTGGGAGATGGACACCGTACGCAGACAGCATCAGATCTCAAAATGGTGGAGCATTGATCAAACTCTTATAGCCTCTAGTGGCCCCCACCTAATCATAAAAGCCTAAACATTCACATTCTTTCTCTCACACGGCGCCTAAGCTACGACCTTGGCTCCCTGTTTATCTGCTCCTGCTGAGATGGGGCAGAAAACTCCAGTATGTTCTGTTCTCTTCGAATCAGACAAATAAGGCGATGACTTTCTGCGAACAGTATTTCTTATAACTCAGCAGTATAATGCATCATAAAACAGTATCATTCATTCACAATAAATCAGCAGTCTAATGTAATGCAAATCAGTTTAACAAATGCAATAGTTATCAGCTTCTTCTAATTCAGGAGAATAATGCAAACTAAAACTACATAATAATTCACAATCTTTAATTAGGGGTCTAACATGGCATAAAATAATATTATAATCCCGCACCATATACTGGTATTGTACTTTTGTACAAATATGATTACAGACTGCCGTTCTCATATCATTATTGTGATATATTCTTTTTTGTTTAGTTTTTTTTGGCCAGGATAATCATGTAATGATATTTGATAACATAACAGCCGTACTATATGCCACTGATTGGAAAGTCTATTTGATTATGGCAAAAAAGAGAAAAGAAATATTTTTGCTTTATTGCTGGTTTAATATTATATTTAACATATATAAAACTTTCCATTATTAAATACACTCAAGTTTAAAAAACATGAATGACAGTTATTGATGCTACTCAAAATAATGATATTGATAAACACAATGCCTTGTACCAGCCAAAGGAAAATATTAACACCACTGTTTTCAGCTCCATACAAACAGAAGGAAAGACACATTTAAGTACTTACTGGATCAGAAATGCATGACTTGGTTTCGGCATACATACATACAAAAAAGTCAGCAACAGTACAAAACTGTGACTGTTAATTCTGGTGATAAACAGCTCTATTGTGATATGATATGGCCAACAGTGATGGGATGATTAAGACCTGGATGTAAAGGACTACCCCCCAGAAGGAGAGAGCCAGCAAAGCTGGTTTAGTAAGCACCCCCATTTCCCACACCCTGCTGCTGGGCGATGAAGAGTGGAAGCGGGACCAATGTCGACCGCAACCCAGGGCAACACTCATCTTCCACACTGCACACATTAGTCAAACTGGACCTCTCAAAGCCGCATCACCAGCACCTTGCGAAATCTCTTTCTGAAGGCAATATTAAACTGGCGAAACATCTCATGCAAGCACTGGCTTTTGTAAAGGTGTAGGTCTGGGAGAATTACTTTCACAGAATTACACTTCTAAAGTTGTTTGCATTAGTGGTTCGCTGTTGTTTTGGTTACATCTTTTTTTTGTTATTAGTCTTTTAATATATTTTCACAACTACCTGTTATGAAAGCCCACATAGCCTTTCGTAACAGGAGCCAACCACTACCAAAAACTGCACTTCTTCTAAGTATACCCTCATAACCAGTGGCCGGGTTAAATACCTGTGGCTCTCTACCATTTCTTTAAAAATGTCTTTACACACCTAAATAAATGCAGTTGTCTTAAGCTCTTAAGGTCACTTAAGGCTCCATAGGGGAGTCAGACACTGTGGACTGCCATGAGAAAATCTGACTACAACAAAAATGAACATCTTTTACTGATAGGGACAAAATCAAGTGTGAGCTCTGTGGTAGGAAACTTTATTACAGCTGAGCTATTTAAACTGTGGTACCATCACAGCCTCCAGCTCTGCCAGCCAAATCTAGTGACAGGCTTAAGTCATGCCACTGTTCTGGAATATACACAATCAGCTGGGTGAGGAGGCTTGCAGAGAGCTGCTGAGGGAAAAGTCTCCAAACACACTAGCATAGGATCCTTTGAGAAACTGGACATAGTTTTGCAGGCTTCGATTAGTGCTGTCTGACTGCTCCAGGCGATCCTTCAAATCCTGCAGCTGGCTCTGGTACCGCCACTCCATCTAAGCATCAGAAATACATACTTTACAGACCAGCAGATGTTTCTACGCAGACAATTTTAGTCAGTAATTCCCAGAAGCCTTTACCTGCTCTTTGCTCCGTTTCAATTGATTAATTTCTGCAGTGGTCCTGCTGAGTTGGTTTTCTAGGTCCAGTATTTTGGACTGGGTGGAACGTTGTTTGTTGACAACACGTTCTTTGGTCTCTGACATCTGATAAACAGATCACACTGGATTTCACTATAATTTCTTTTATACACTATTTCAATGTTACATGCTCTTATAAACAAATTCAAATAAAAATATAGTCAGTGTATGTATATATGAAAAAATGGGTGTATCATATTTGACCACAGTTAAATTCAATCATCAATAAAGCCTATTTAATACAAGCTAAAAAGGAAACATTTAATAGTCAGAGATGCCAAGATATCTAAGGTGGTGACTGACTCAGAACACTAACCCAGAGCCCAATTCAAAGAAATGAAACCCGTGATTATAATACTGCTGAGGGAGTGGGCATTTAGAGCTAAAACATTGCATTTACAGATACACATACACAGTCCATTGTGTAGATGGAGTGGTTTAAAGGAACAACATATTTGAAGCAGTATCATTAAGTTTGCTTTATAATGTTAATTAAAATCCAGGTGTTTCCTCTGAAGCTTGCCGGGCTGTATGGTCTGTATGTGCTTTGTATCATCGTGTCTTTTTATTGTGAATTGCTGTCACACTTGGGGTTAATCATATTTTGTGTAAAGTTCTTTATAAGTAAATCACTATGAAAAAGGATCAGACTTGTTGGCGAGCATCATCCAGAGCCTCCTCCAGCCGATGGCTCAATAATGAGCATTCTCTTGTTTTTTCTTTTAGACGGAGCTCATTGCTGTGGACGGTCTCTTCTCGTTTTGCAATAACTGCTAGCAGGTCGCTATTCTGACTGCCGGCCTCCTTTAACTTTCTAGAAGATGGCAAACAAAAAGACAATGACAACAAGGTGCAGTTAGACTATTTTCAATGAACATATATTTCAAATTGCTTAATTAACAGGCTTTGGGAGCATATTTAATATTAAATCGATATAATTCAAATATGATTCAGTGGAATTCTGTCAGGACAAGCAAGGCAGGACAAGCAAGGCAGGACAAGCAAGGCAGGACAAGCAAGGCAAGCACTGTCAAATTTAAAAATAGACAAATTTAATTTAATTTTCACTTGTTCCATTGGCAGATGTTTTCACTTATTCCAAGCAAAAATATCTTGTATTAAGTGAAAAAAAAACCTGCCAATGGAATAAGTGAAAAATCTCTAGTTTCAAGATGCACTGTCTAAAAACAAGTTCATATATCTTACTGAAGCGTTACCCTGTAGCTGATTGTGTCTTATTTTAAGTGTGATGAGATTATTTTGACTAGAAATTAAAAAAATATACTTGGTAAGATTTCGAGTTTTTGCAGTGTATTGCCAGTCCCAGTCAGCAGTTCTCCTGCCCAACCAAACACAGCCTGAGCCAGCCAGCTTCCCATTCCTGAGTCAGCGGACAGCTTGCCAGAACTTTTTTGAGGCCTATCGAAAGACTCTAAACTCCTATCACACCCCAGTTTTTTCTATCAGAACTGCAGAAATTGCACCGGATACCCCCTCTGATACTCCTCTGCTGCTTCAGGAGACCCCCTGGCCAATCAAGCCTGGGAACTCTCCTTCTTCAGCCAGACGGGACATCATGATTCAATAGCTAAACAAACATCAGTGGATTTATGTTTGCTCAATTCTCACCTCACAAAACACAAATTCAGAATCCTGATATAAAATGTGCTGCTCCTATTTGACAGGGTCACTAATGTTTACCTCAGCATTTACCCAGCTCACAGGACATTTCTCTGCCTAAAAGCATTTCAGAGACTTCCTGACAACATGATTTTGTGGAGCAGCAAGTGTCTTCTGTCCACTCCCCTTTATGCTATGAAACAACGGCGTGCTGTCAATGGAGGACATGCTCCTTCACTTATGGCCAAACATAGTTCTATATGCTCTCTTCCCAGCCTCATATCATTAGTATTAAGAGGATTAGAAATGGCTGCTTCCGACTTTGTTAACTCCATCATTGTGTTTTATTTTGACCAATTGCAATACAACAAATGTCCCAGTAAGCCGGTTATGTTACCTGGGGTTTGGGTTTGTTTTTTTTAAACTGAAAAATCTGAATTTCATGAAACCTGCTTTCTAGAACAGGATCAGATACGGGGTTTTATTAGGAATGACAAGGTGTAAAGACAAGAACAAGAAACAGCTGTTGGACGACATGGTGGTTGATAAATAATTATATATCTAGACAGTATTAAAGTGAAACAGCATAAGAGAAGACGGACCTTTCCAAACTTTCTACTCGCTGCTGAAGCTGTCTGTTCTCCTCCAGCAGCACCTTTTTCTTCTGTCTAAGAAGCTCCATCTGGCTGCCTTGGGTCTCCACCTAACACAATAGAAAGCCTTTGAATAATGTATTTAGAAAAAATCTTCACTGAATATTAACTGAAGCTGCACAGAGATGAAAAGTAGTCTCAGAATGGAATGGATGTGGCTCAAGAGACAAGGGGGAAAGTTGGTAGTTTGATCCCTGGCTCCTGTTAAAGTTGAAATGCTCTTGAGAGAGATGCTAAAACCCACATTACCCCCAGTTGGGTATGGTAGAATTGTTATTTGTGCCCTTTTCTACAAGTTTATTAGTCTGTTAGCTATAATTATATTAAAAAGCAATTTTTCCAAACTTTGTAAAGCACCATTGTATCCACACTTCCCAACAAGCATTCCTTTCTGCCCATCTATCATTTATTATCTGTCATTCCCATTTGTTCTTGCTCTTGTACCACTACCATCCTATATTTTTATTTGAATTTTTCATTAACATCATTTCAATATTGTTAATATTTTTAATGCTATCTTTGGCTATAAAGCATAAGACTGTTGTGACCTTCATGCGGAGATCAGTCAGTGCTGTGCTGAGCTCCAAGCTGTGTTTCTCCTGGCTGCACTCCCTATCCTGAGCTTCCTGCAGCTGTAGCTGGGAGCGCTGTAGGGCTTCAGGAAGAGGCTCCAACTCTGCCAGCCGTCCCAGAAGCTCCCTGCGCACTTCATCGATCTCCTTCTCCAGCTCCCCCTGCACCGTCTGAGCCTTCTGCTCTGCTTGAGCCAGCCGAGCACAGTACTCATCTGCCTCAGCCTGGGTTTTCTCCAACTTTGTAGATATGGTTTAACAGGACAACAAGGACAATAACGGTGTCATTTCTGTACAATGACAATGTAAAACTGTTGTATCCCCATGAGAGTGTGAAATAATGACCTGCATCTTATAGCTGTCTAGGAGGCCCTCATACTGTCTGATGGAAACTTTGACCTGTTGAAGCTCTAACTGAGACACAGACAGCTTCTCCTCCACCGCAGACGCTGTAGCCTGAGAGAAACAGAACTTTTATTAAATAAAAATGACAGTTCATACTCCTAATGCAATATAAGTCAACCTAAAGCTATTAGAATCAGTAATGGAAAGATTACATCCAAGCCGCAAAAGCATAACAGATGTGTCTAAATTCTGATCAGGGCATGGTTTCATTAACATTTAGCAAATCTGTTATCATTAATAAGTGACTTTGGCTGTTTCACCTTGAGGGATTGGTTCTCCAGTTTGGCAGCAGTACTCTCTGCAGTGATTTCACGGAGACGATCCAGCAGCGCTTCTTTCTCTGCTCTGCCTTTATCCTTAGTAGTATGAAGCTGCTCAGTCAGCTCTGCTATACGGCTGTCATACCACATATGATAACAAGTTAACAAGGATTAGATTTCCATTCATATAAACAAAATCCATCTGAAAGAGCAAAAGTCCAAAGTCAAGCTTGGTGACTGATTTCATCACAACGGGATCTTTGTGATTTTCATGTTACATTTTCTGGAAGCTTGCCCTTATCTGAATTAAGGGTCTAAAGACTTATATATGGTTCAATAATGTTTAAAAGGTCCACTGAGCACACTGGTTTGTGATATTGGACTAAATAAAAACTCAAGTAAAAATAAATTCAATTCAACTTTATTTATATAGTTGTGATGTCTGCTGCTGCAGATTGTGTGGAGTGAAGAGAGTGCAGACCCAAATGCAGACAATGGAGATGTGATGAAGTGAACAGAAAGTGAGCAGTTTATTTCTGGCTGCACAAGACTACAAACAAAAGCAAAGAAGGACTAAGATGGAACTAACAGAAGCTATACTGGGAAAAGCTAAAATACTAAGTACATGAAGCCTAAGACCTGAAACCTGAAACTTGGAACACAGAGGAAGAAAAGCACCAACAAGAGACAGACAGAGGACTAAATGCACAATGATAACAAGGAAATGGCAAACAGGAGGGAAACACAGCTGCGACTAGTCAGAGACAATGTGACAGGGAGGAAGCAACCCCGAACACACTAAACGCAAGACGCGGGACTATCAAAATAAAACAGGAAACATGAGAAACAAGCTGAGACACGGACCGCTGGGACTGCTGAAGAACAGACATGAGTATATAACGGACTCGACGTGACACATGAAACACAGGGGAGGCACAGAAACAAAAGCCTAAGGACTAGAAACAACAAATATAACCAGAAACTAACTAAGTGAAAGTATATTCAAAAACCAGGAAACAAAAACACAGGGTGCCCAGACCCAGGACCATGACAATACTGCCAAATCACAACAACAGTTCCCTCGAGGCGCTTTATACAAATGACTTGCAAATCTCATAAACTCATTTTATTTTATTCACAACACAATATAAATGTCTGGTAACTGAGAAGATCAGCTGCTGGAATTTTGAGAGGAATGTTGTCCCATTCTTATCTGATAGAGGATTTTAGCTACTCAACAGCCATATGTCTTCTTTTTCATATTTCTTATTTCATAATGTGCCAAATGTTTTCAGTTATTGAAAGATCTGGGTCAGCCTGCAAGCAAGCCAATTCAACCCCCAGATTCTTCCACTACAAAGACATGCTGTAGGAATAGATTAAATGTGCAGTTTAGCATTGTCTTGCTTAAATACGCATATTATGCACACAGGGAGCATATTTTGCTCTAAACCTTTCAGCATTGATGGCGCTTTTCCAGATGTGAAACCTGCCAATCCCCCCCTGACATTTACGTTTTCCAAAAAGATTATCAAATTTCCATTTGTCTGACCACAGCACAGTTGCTCCACAATTTGCAGATGCAGATTTTTTTGGAGATTGTTGTAGCTACATAGCTATTCTGGCATCACCCGTCAGTTTGCAAATGTCCATTCTGAAGTCTCAAAATCAACCTTTCCACCATCTTCATCACAAAAAACAGTGATGCACCCTGACAGTGACGATGGGCACCTCTGACTGTGAAACCACTTGCTAGTACGCTTACAAGTCGTTAGCCAATGAGAAAGCAGATAATAATAATAATAATAAATTTTATTTATGAGCGCCTTTCAAGTCACCCAAGGACACTTTACAATAGGATAAAACACTTAGTAAAACAATGGCAGAATAAGAACAATAAAATAAAGCACAAGATAAAATGAACAAACAGTGGATTCACAGTGAATATGCAGATTTGAACAGATGAGTTTTGAGTTGGGATTTAAACTGGGGGAGAGAACCAATATTTCTTATTTCAGGGGGCAGAGAATTCCACAACCTGGGAGCAGAGCAGCTGAAAGCTCTGCTTCCCATGGTGGTGAGGCGGAAGGAAGGTACAGTAAGCTGGACAGAAGAAGAAGAACGAAGTGAACGGGCAGAACAAGTGGTGGTTAACAGGTCAGAAAGGTAAGAAGGAGCGAGGTTATGAAGGGCCTTGAAGGTGAGCAGAAGAAGTTTGAAAATTATCCGGAATTTCACAGGGAGCCAGTGAAGTTCCTGAAGAACAGGGGTGATGTGCTGGTAGGAGGGGTTCTGGTGATAATGCGAGCAGCAGAGTTCTGAACCAGTTGAAGCTTATGGAGGGATTTTTGGGGGAGACCATGCAGAAGAGAATTGCAGTAGTCAATACGGGAGGTAACAAGACTATGTACAAGAATGGACGTAGACTGGGTGGAAAGAGAAGGAAGCAATCTGTTAATGTTACGTAGATGGAAGTAGGCAGAACGGGTGAGGTTATTGATGTGTGATTTATAAGAAAGTGAACTGTCTAGGATGACACCAAGGCAGATAACACCACAGCTCATCCTGCTTTATGTAACATGGTATGATAATGTTTACATTATTTTATTCAGTATGACCCAAAATGCATGACTAGGTCAAAGAACACAGTAGCAAAGTGTTTGCAGAGGGGAACACAGAAAGCCTATAGACTTCTATAGGACTGGAAGTGTTTTTGCAACCTCAGCTAGTGCCACCAGGTGGCATGAATGGATATAATGCACTTCCATACCGGCTTCATTTGTTTTTGACCAGCAATCTTTTTTTCTTTTTTTTTTACCATCTATGTTAAGCTGAGAAATTCTGCATCTAAGATGCTGCTTTTATAATCATGTTACTAACCTGTTGCCAATGAACCTAATTAGCTGCAAAATGTTCCTCCAGACAATTTTTCAGTACCACTTACTTTTCCAGACTATTACTGCTCCATTCCAACTTTTTTGACATGTGCTGATATGTTCTATTGTCAATATAATATGGGTTTATTAGATTACACAGTTTTCACCTTGAGGCGATTGTGGTTCTGTTTTGGCGCTATATATTTAATTAAGTTGAAATTTACATCTCACACACACGTTTTCCTTAGGATCACATTTTATTTTGTATTTTAACAAAACAGCCAAACAAATGAGTCTCAGCAAGAGTGCTCCTCTCAGAGTTTTGCCAAAGTACATACATGTACATATTGTGTCAACTACATTTTCTCCATATCTGCATGTCTCTCACATCCCACCCTCAAATGTACTGCTATATCCAACTTCAGCTCAAACAATTCCCTGTTTATTTCTCTCCCAGAATGATACTGAAAGCAAGAAAGCTTGATGAATGAATGAAGGGATGCTCGGTATATGGCAACAGTCTATAACCCTATGCTAATGCCATTACTGGTATAAGGCATTTTGCTCTGCACAATTACCAATGTGACATTTGAAGACCTTGCAAATGTCAAAATAAAAAATGTATTCATGGTGATTTTCCAAAAATATCAACAGAATATTATTGTCCTGCATGCCGTTCAGCTGTTCAAAACTCCTTTGTGAAAAATAAAAGGAGTTTAGGATCTTGGGTTTTTTTATCCCCCCTTTGTGAACAGAGAAAAGGAAAATGCAGTTACCTGTTCAATAGCGACAATTCAATATCCAGTTTACTCTTGTCTTTTGCTTCTCGTGCATGTTGACTCTGCCATGTCTCAGCTGCTGACAGCACCTCTGCTATCTGCTTCTCCTGCAATTGGAATACATCTTTGTCACTGTTCACTAATACTGGTTGATTCAGTTATAGTCATAGTTGGGCACTGGTTTGTTTTTAGACTTCTCCTGGTATGAGGTGCTTATGTTGATATGCTGTATTTGATTGTACATTATGGCCAAATATCTCCATTTGTTGAGTTCTAGAATCATGTCCAAAGACATTTTGGAAATGTACATAAACATATAGTAGAACTGTAAAAACCTGTAATCTGTAAAGCCACTGTTGTGTTTGTGACCAGCTCTGTCTATGAACATGCTGCAGCTGTTTTTTAAGTTGAAAAACACAAGCACTGTGCTGGATTGCTGGTGATGTATGAATGGCTCGACCTTTTTAAGGAGCAAAACAAGTCCTGTTTTTCCTTGGTTTTATGACTTTACATCATATGGCATCAAGCTGTATGCCAGAAAATTTGCAAGGCTTTAACTCTTTGATGCACCTCACCAGAAAGGATCAAGAGCGAGGACACACTAAGTGTGGCTGAATGATGCCAAAGACAGAGAAGGTGATCCAAACTAAAGATGTAGAACTACCGGGAAGCAAAATAGTAGACTAATGGGATAGCTATAACCTCCTGGGGTTATCCAGAAAGTTATAGCTATCCTGTATGTCTGCTATTTGCTCTCCAAGCCAATAGGACCATGATAATGATGCAAAGAGAACAGCCCTGCCAAATATTTCCAGAGGGTAAGATAGTACTGACAAACCAGCCCAGTTGTAGCAATAAGGTCCCAGACATTAATATGTACAGTACCTACTACTGGTCATCATATAAGCAGCCAGAATAATATTGCTTTTTCTACTGAATTAAAGTACAGACTCTCTATATGTGGGTCAGAGCTGCATGAAATAAGACTTTTGTTCATAACCCACCTGCACACTTACTCAGAGCTGACTGAACTATTTCTGATCTGCTGCTCTGGAACTTAAAACTCCACATTACCAGTTCATCTACTCAAATTTCAGGCTCACACTCTGTGGTGTTTATTACATTTGTTTGCTGCAGTGTGGACCAGAGGGTTGGACTATGAAGCAAGTTTGACAGGCTTTCTTTAAATTAGCTGGCTTGGCAACTCTTCAGTCAGTGATAAAGACGATGAAGAAGGCTTTAGGATCTGGGCAGCCTCAAATAAAAGAAGGCATCAAATGCTTCTTTTGACTCTACTTCTGTGAAAAATTAACTGTAACAATGGTCGAATTAACTGTGATTTATCACATTTTTTTGGAAATCTGGGCCACATTTGTGCCTGATTACAGCCAAACCCACTGAATCCAGAAATCACTTAAATAGAACCTGCGTGACAAAGAGAAGCAGGCTAAAAGATCTGAAAAAGCTACACATCATGGTACAATCTAAAGAAGCAGCCTAATGATTAAGATGAACAGTATGGGCTCAAGCTCACACTCTTAAGCACCTGAGATCCTTCTGCAACCAACCTCTGAAAATAATGAAGATAAAGTGGCATCAGTATTATACTGAATCTAAAAGAAACATCTCCTTAAATTAGTTTTCAAATATACAAAGAGTCTAGTGTCACTGCATCTTCTTAAAGACAAAACAGCAAAGGTCACCAGAAGGATGGTGAATGGCAACTGTAAAATAACACATCATAGATGCACATCTAGACAGTCAGTATTCTTCATAAGACCCGTCTTCTCTGCGACACACTGGAACCAAACTAACTGCAGATCCTGAAGTCAAACTAGGAAGAAAGACTGGAATTTTGCATAGATATAAAATCTCCGTTCAGCACATTAGCTTCATAATATGTTAAATTGCATTATCCCTATCATATAAAAGTATCATCATTTGGACATAACAATAATTTTTACCCAGATCAAATGGGAAATTATTTATATTCTCTGTGACTTATAATATCCTGTCTCAGAGTGACGCTGAAAAACTAGTTCATGCATT